AACAAAAGAAGTTATGTGCTATTTAGAACAACTTCCGTTGCTAGTGTCACGTAATGCCAATAATTGGTTTTTATCGTCTCTAAACAGATAGATGGTAAGCAAACCAATTAAGAGGTGGTAGATAGGTGTAGACTACGTTAAGTGAGACTCTTGTCAACTAGAATTTGTCCTTTATAGCCACTCACTCATCGCTCCAAAGGAAAGCATACGCAGGAGACGATGAATAAGATGTATTAGGCAACGATGGACGTGTTGTTTTGGCTTTATCGTACGTGTTAGGAGCAACGTAATGAGGTTGTTGTTGATATTTGTTAGGCGGATGGGTGTGCGCTCTAAACGATCAGGAGACGCAACTATATCAAGTATTTCTGTCTAACATTATTGTTCAAGACTTAGTTTATACTTAAGGCTTTAATCAGTTAGGTAGTTGGCAAATTGTAGCCACTATAAATACACGACATAATAAAGTAAGTTTTTCATTGAATAGAAGGTACTTGGTTAATCGTCTCTTATTTGTGAAGTTTGATTAGTTGTTAAAGGAATGTTTAAAGGTCTTATATCTATCCACAAACTCTAAACACTACAACACATTTACAGTATCTGACTCTATCCGATCTATTTAACAAGATATACTGAAGAATTGGTCCACCCAAGGATTGTTAATTAGCAATGAATAGTTATTGTACGCCAATAGAAGAATGAGTATACTGGGACAATTGTATCAACCATTTCAACTCTGTACAAATAATGCAGAGCGAGAGAAAAAGAGAAATTCTACAGACGACTGCAATCAGCACTGGATAAGACCTCAGCTGGCGACATCAAAATTCTAATGGGCGACATGAATACGAAACTCGGAGCGGACAACACAGGAAGAGAACTAACCATGGGCCGGGAAGCGCTAGGTGAAATGAACGAAAATGGAGAATTGTTTGCAGAATTCTGTGCATTCAACGATTTGGTGGTTGGAGGCAGTGTGTTCAAGCACAATGATATCCATAAAGCGACATGGATTTCACTAGATGGACACACCACACTAAAAATCAGATCGACTTTATCTCAATGTGAAGAAAGTGGAGACGCAGCCTACTTGACACAAGGTCAAGAAGAGGAGCAGATGTAGGCTCATACCACTCACTATCTAGTGCAAGGAACCCTCAAAAGCAAGTTCTAAGCTGATGATAGACCACAGTTCAAGTACAACACTCGGAAACTGAAGGACGAAACTATAAAGGACATCTCCAGGTCAGCCATCAAGACAGAATGGGAGACATTGAGCAACACTGCTTAAGGATCGGGCGTGGAAGAACACTGGAGCTCTCTGATAGAGATGTGGAAAGAAACCTGCACAGCCGTATTAGGAAGGAAGAAGAAAGAAGATAAGGAATGGAATGGATCTTGATGGATACATGGAAGCTGATAGAGCAGGGAGAGGAGGATGGTGAAGCAGAAGATAAACCAATGCAGTGCAATGGATGCAAAACGACAAGAGGAACTGAGTACAATGTGTAGAACACTACACTGGACAAAGAAGTGAAGGAGAGTGCACGGAAAACAAAAGACACTTCTACGAAACACTGGCAAGTGAAGCAGAACAGGCTGCAGGTAGGAGAGATAAAGACCTGGCAACATTGTATCAAAAAACCAAGTTACTATCTGGGAACAGATGAACACATATGAAACCAACAAAAGATGATGAAGGAAATTTAATTACCAAAGAGGAGAACCAAAGAAAACGTTGGGCCGACCACTTCAAAAAGCTCTTGAATCGACCACCACCACCTGTACTTCGTCCAGAACTACCACCTGCAGCCGCTGAACTACAAGTGAACACAAATCTTCCAAAAAAAGTCGGAGTCCTGAGCGCCATAAAGCTACTGAAATGCGGGAAAGCAGCAGGACCAGATGGAATCCCGTCAGAAGCACTGAGAACAGACGCAGAGACAACAGCGGACATGCTCACACCACTATTGCAGAAGGTTTGGAAGAAAGTGAAGGTACCTGCAGATTGACTGGAAGAAGGGTTATCTTGTCAAACTCCCGAAGAAGGACGACCTAAGTCTTTGCAAGAACTGTCGCAGAATCATGTTCCACCTCTGTCCACCCCAAGCAAAATATTAAGCCGCATCATCCGGGAGAGTAAAGGATGCGCTGGATTCGAAATTACGACCAGAACAGTCTGGCTGAATTCAGGAAGTACAAATCATGTGCTGACCAAATTGCAACGCCACTCTATGCATCATCATAGAACAGAGTATAGAATGGCAGTCAACCCTCTACCTCAACTTCATCGACTTTAAGAAGGCCTTTGACGGCGTCCACCGAGAATCAATTTGGAAACTGCTTTAACACTACGGAATACTGCAAACCTTTATCAATCTCTTTCAACAACTATATGAAGCCACAACATGCCAAGTGATTCACAATGGAAAGCTCAGTGACGCCTTTGAAGTGAAGTGGAGACAGGAGTCAGACAAGGTTGCTGCCTACCATCACCGATCATCTTCCTGATTGTGGTCGACTGGATCATGCAACAAACTGTGAGGCACTGTGAGAAGATGGGCGTACGCCGTTTGACCGATGAAAAGAGCCTAGAAGATTCGGATTTATGTCTCATGTCTTGTCGCACAAACTTGAAGATCTACAGGTAGAAACCAACAAGTTGACAGAAGAGGCAGGGCAGCGAAAACGGGACTTGAAGTGAATATAGCGAAGACAGAGGTGATGAAGATACCCAACCACCACCACCACCAACAACAACAAGCACCAATCAAAACCAACGGGAGAAATCTAAAGGAAGTAGTCTATTTCACCCACCCAGGTAGCATCGTTTCAACTATGGGCGGCACAGACGATGTCAAAACCAGGATCGGAAAGACAGCAAGACAGGCCTTCATTAACCTGAAATCAGTGTGGAGATCTACTGCACTGCACTCAGCATAAAGCGTGAACGAGATCCTGATTTTCAACACCAATGTCAAGTCAGTGCTCCTATGTGATGGTTGAGAGACTTGGCGTGTTACGAAAAGCATTTCCAACAAACTACAGACATTCATCAACAGCTGCCTACGCTCACTCGATACCGAAGGTCAGATGGCCAGAAACAATAAGAATAAGCAACAAGGAACTCTGGCCTGGCAACGAACCAACCAAGAACCCATCTCCCAACAAATATGCAGAATAAGGTGGAGATGGATCGGATTGGGCATACACTGAGAAGGCCGATTGGGGACATCACGCGCCGGGTCAGATGCTCGAGTGGAATCCAAAGGGGAAACGACGAGTTATGCGTCCGAGTGTGACATGGAGGAGACGGTGTGAGAAAGAAATGAGAGCTTGTGGTCAGTCGTGGAGCCATGTTAAGAAGACTGTAGAGAAGAGAGTGAAATTGTGACGTGCTACTAAAGCCCAACGTTAAACTAGGAACCCACGCGACAAATAAGAATAATATTTCAACTCTTAGGTTTATACTTAAAACCTGCTCTGTATCTGGTTTTCTTTTCTTTAGGAGGATAGTAAAATCTTTGTATTTATGTGAAATGGTGTAAAAGTTGGTTGTGTGATTAACAGACTCAAATTATCGAGTTGAGATGCATCGACGTATTACCTTCGTTATAGTCGTTTTGTAACGTCTGGTTTTTGGTTCTGGTCTCTTTTCTTATGACTTTTAATGAATTTATTTCCATCAATTTGCTTTTCATTTTGTTGCTTTGTACCTAGTTGTGGTGTTTTGAAGTATGGCAAAGTGGAATTGTTATGAAGCAGTACCTAGGTTTCTGTGTTGATAGTGTATAACTGACTGTCACAATTCTTTACACTGTGGAGAAAGAAAACCAGAGGAAGAAACGTTTATATCTGATAATAAATACAAAGGTATATAGAGTTGCGGATATGAGTGTACATTAATTATGAAGTTACTACCCTTTCAAGATCTACGCTGTGTTGTTTCATATAAAGTCTTTGGAAATAGGTGTCTTACTTTCTCATTAGATCTGATGAGAAAGTCTACAGATCCTTAAATAGTCGACTTACTAGCTAGTTACTTCATAGGTTATACTCGTATGTTGACAACCTAGTGGCGTTTTCAGTCTGTGCGCCTACTTTATTGACCAGATGGTATCAAGGGCGAAAGTTATTTGCTGTCATTTTGAAAGTTCCTTAGTTTATGCAATTTGATCTGCTGGTCAAGTTTGCGATACGGCTACTTGGTTAAGTGATACAACTATGCAGTGTGGACTGTGTTCTGGTATTCATTGTCAAGAGTCAGTCGGTAGAAGGTTCTAAACCTGAGTTGCATGCTTCTTACTTCTCAACAATATTGTTTATTAGCCCATTTCCACATCATAGCTCAGTAACACTGAACAGATTCTCATACCATACTTTATATACCTGTTTTATGTTAGCCATTTTTCTTAGTAACAAGTAAAAAAGGTAGATTGTAATATAGTGAATATCCAGGCAGTAACGAGGCATCAACTTAGGAGCCCATTTGTCGACGGAGGTCGAGAGACTCGATCCAGTAATAGCAAAGGGGAATTGCAAGTAACAGTAAACAACAACTGATATCCATTCCTGAAGAAGTGGCTCTCATACCCCAGTGGTCTAGTGGGTAACACGCTTGCATTCGAAGCGATGGGTTCGAGTCTCAGTGGGAACATCAACACACAGTGGTGCTGATACATCCAGCTGACGACTCCCAAATAGGATGAGATGCGCGTCTAGCTGGATTCCACTACTAACCTACAAATAGACGCAATGAGTAAAGCGTTTTGCTACTCGAACCTTACCTCCTGTCTGTCTATTCAGTTGATAATCGAATCATAGAACCATCATCCTACTCCTGTTCGTTCATCTACTTGGAAAGATAGTATCCAATGTGTAGCTATGCATGTAAACTTGTGCACGGACAAATCTTTATGTAATCATATAAAATCGAGTAAATCTGATGTCATTATCATTGTTGTTTCCCTGTATTTCTGTTTGACTTCTTTTTTTATAAGGTCATAATCGGACTCAGAATGAAGTACTTGGTTTACGTAGGAATACCTCCGTATTGAAATCGTTTGTCTCAATCTTATGTATTCAATCGAACTTTGATTATAATGATAATCTGAAGCCTAATTATACGACAAATACATCATGGGGAAGCACAGCAACAAACTTCTATCTTATTCTTATCATCCCACCGCATTTGTGTAATTCTTATCTTTTCAATTCATCGAATTTGTGGTTAATTCATGATTTTATAGTGTTATCTAATTTGTTTATTGTTAATTATGCTGAATTATCCGCCTTATTCAATGATAATCCCACTGGTGGTGGTACATCTAACCTATCAGATGACAATGATCATCACTCCTCATTTATTAAATATCTTCAGTCAACTCTTTATCGTCCTTCTACTGTTCCTAAAGATGGTAATTTCAGGAGCTCTACCACCACCGGCGGCGGCAGCAGCAATACCAATAGTAGTAATAGTAATGACAGTAGTGTTCTTGGTGGTAATAATATGTCATTTAATGAAATGATTCACTTTTTTTGGTTAGCTTGGCTAAGTCTACGGAATAGTTGTTCTGCACGTTGGACAACAACTGCTGAAAATTCAACGTCACAATTTCATATACTGTTTGTTGGCAATTGTCCAACATCATTGGATTGTATTTCATTCGAGTATGTTGTTTTACACACTTTTGTTGTTGGCTTTTAACAGAATTTTAATGATTTGAGAGATTGAATGATGATTAGGTTTCTATGTTAACGATGACCAGACCAAAACTGGGCACCAGTTCATGAAGTCTGTGACTTGATCTGAGCCGTGTTGGGAGATGTAGACTACTACCTGGCTGGGGTCCTTGAGACAATAGGACTCACTGGCTGAGGACTTGGTGACATGTATGGAAATCGATCGCAGTGGGCCAGATGTATTCACTCCTTGATATATTTTAAAGCTTGATTATTTGCACTTCCCTTTGTTTAGAGATTACTTACTCTCGTGCACTACTTTGCTACTTTCATATCACTTTTATTCTGTCCACCTGTTTTTTGTATACTCATCCAACCACATCAGCTTTGGGCATTTGTGTACTACTGTGAAGTGTGGCAGCTTGGACCGATACACCTGTGTGGGAGGTTATACTTTGATTTCGTCAGTTTGTCAGTTAGATTTGTGTCGTTTAATGATATTGGTATATTCTGCAGCAAATCAATGACTGAATGAATGGTGATCGCAATCTAGCTGTCAGTTTTATACTTGGTGCTGATCAAGGCAGATTAGACTAACTTAGATTTTGTCCTGTTAACTGGAAACAGGGATTAGTTAAAAGGGTATTTTCAAGTAATCCAATGAAAGATGGCTTGCGAACGGTTGAAAGATGTCTACGAGATAATGGATGACCTCAAGCATTTATCAACAGATATGGCGACAAAAAGTTGAAGAAGGCTACAGTCTGTAAAAAGCCGGTATTCATTCGTCTCAATTTCAAATAGTGATGAAAATCCAGGAACTATTTGCAGACAAATTAAGAAATCAGTGGCTAAAACTTTCCTGTTTACTAAACAATGTACTCTTTAGTTCAGTCAAAAGTTGATAGATGCCCTTCCTATGTTACCTCCAACTTTGTATATCAGTTTGCATGTAGCTGTGGAAGCAGATAGATTGGAAGAACAGAAAGAAAGGTGTACCTTTGATTTTCTGAACACATTTCAAAGGGCTCAAGACTGAGGAGAAAGTAACACCTTGAACAGTCCAATCACTTGGCATCTGACTGACACTTAAACACTAAGCAAACGTCTTCAATTCCTTCAAGATAATAAGAAAAACAAATGAGCTCCATCCTACTGACGTTTCCTGAAGCCGTAGCCAATAAACACCTCAAACCTGATTTATATGTTCAAAAAGAAGCTATGGTCAACCTCTGACCACCTTGGTAACCCTTCTTGACTTGTCTGATTATATCACCCTGTATCAAACTTAGGTGTTTGTACCTTCACTCTTATTTAGTTGCATCATCTTTTGTTTTTAACTGAGCATAATTCAGAATAGTTTGCTTATTTATCGTGTGACTTATCTGCGTCATCCTATGGTGTCAAGTCCCTCAATAATTTGATTGCTGCTTTTGTCGTTATTTTATTAGAGAAACTTCCACTAGAGGGCGTATATAATTATGACCAGATTAGTTATCACGTGATTAGTTTGTTGGTAAAGTCTTTAACTTCAGCGTTAAACGACAATAGTTTGGATTTCTGGAGAATACTGTCCCCCCCCCTCAAGGCTACAATAACCCCCTGAATGACAAGTTCCACTAACCTGGAAACTTGTGTCGAGCAGCTCTTCCTGTTGGTGGTTAGCTCTTTAACATTGTTAGCTAGCATTGTTTAATCAACTTTCACGGTCATTGTTCCTCATTTTCCCCATTAACTTAGCCGAAGATGATTGGCAATGGGCACTATTTTGCCTCGGTAGTTAAGTAGATGGAGATGGAATATTAGACTGAGACACTAAGAGAGTCATGGGTTACGACCCTGCCCCACCTATTGAAAAACAGACAAAATCAATGTAGAACCTTAGGCAGAAGTGCATCCGTTCAACTTGTCAAACTTCATAGCAGTATGCAAAGAACAAGTGTGTAGAGAAAGACTGATATCAAAATAAACAAAGTTGTGTGAGAGAATAAAGAATCTGAAATTATCGGTTAGTGCAAATTTTCAACATTTAGAAGTCGTCAGGGAGTGAATACATCTGCGCTATTGTCACTGATTTTTAGCCACGTCATTGAGGGTCTCCAACCATTAATTCCTATCATCTTCAGGACCCCAGTAAGACAATATTCGCCTCTCCATACTAATAAAACGAGAAATAAGAGACTTCGTGGACTGGTAACACATCTTAGTTTGGTCACCCTGAGCCCTCTTCCAACCTAATCCAACTTCTCCCTAGCATTGCACGCTGAGGTAGGCAGTGGCTTGGCATGAGCAGTTAGCTCTCAAACAATGGGTGCAACTCATCACATAATGTACAAACGCAGACGTGATCTACTTTGCAATACATTATTCTAAACATACTGCTTCATATTTGCAAAGCCACTTCATCTACTGGGGTCTGGGTAACTGGAAAATATAACCAGCAGTGACACCAAAATTCATTCTAACTCATCGCGTTTTGCTGCATCTTTTTATCGGAAAATCCATTAACTCTTCGGTGGAAGTGTAGTATACGTTTCTTTAAGTACGTCAACTGAACAAAATTGATCACAAACGTTGGTGATATTGCATATATTGAAGTTATTTTTCATTTATGAAAACGTTAAGGTCCTCAAATCACTTCAATTGTACGCATGAAAATAAAATTCGCTGCTAAATCACAAAATCCTTGTGGAAAAGTAACTTTTTTTATTCGTTTATGATGACTTTTAGTAGCAAATATCGCTTAACAATCATTCAAATGGTTTGGAGTATAACACATCCATCGTGATTAGCCTTATAATAGTACCTAATTGCCTAAACATATATAATTAAAACTGGGTTCGAACTTGTAACTCATTGGTTGACAAATGATCGGCTTTTATCTAGTGAGGTTGTTTGAAGCAGTTGATTGTAATTCTACGCATGCATGCATGTTCTGCTACGGTGTTTTCCTCTTGCTATGTCTTGTTTTATCAGTAGAAAAACTCGTGTAAAATGCGAAATTTTCCAGACAGAAAGAAACTTAAGCTTAAATAACCTATTCAACTAGGACAAAGTGGAAGTATTTTCCCTATTTCCAGACTAAATTATGCAATAGAGCGCACACCTATTTACAAAATTTGATTATTATGTGAATAAATTTGTTAAATAAAAGTGTGAGAATAATATTGAACTTCATAAGGATGTAACATGGTTCCATTGGATGCAACTTTTGTAAAATTATCAGTTTGAATATCTCTGATATAGCCTGAGGTTTGGCAGACTGGCTGATGATGATGATTGAAGATGAAATGAAATTTTAGCCGTGACATGATTTAAACCAGTGACTTTCAGGTTATTAACCTGGTTCCTCAAAATCTGAGTCACGAGACCCAACCGCAGACCAGATCTTGTAGCTCAATTTGTAGACTCTTGGATCGGTAGCTCTGGAGATCGCTGGTTCAAATACTTGTAAAATTATGAGTTGATATTCAAGAATGTAACTCATCATAGCAGTACCAATTTGAAGGGTGTAAAGGTAAGAATAACAATTTCGACAAAATTAGCATAAATGAACTCTTGAAGTTCTTCTCGGTTTTTTAAGTTTAACCTTTGTGAGTTCTGTACGCGGTTTATGTGTATTCTAGTCGAAAAAAGTCATATGAATCATGTGTACAAAAATCAATACAAAATGCTGAACGTAAGGATGCTTATATTGGTTCTCACTGACTGATATCACTCCATACTACAACAACCATCAATAAAGAAAAAAACTTAAATCCTCTGGGTAAACTGAAAGTAGTTGTCTAGTCCCATGTCACCGACAAACTGTCTACTATTCAACTGAATCTTCAGTGAACAAGAGAAATATATGCACAGAAGTCCAAGAACTATCCTTTTAAGTATTGATCATACCACAAAGCTATTTTTAGACTAAAGTAAGTTAAGTGTGTCGAGACCCCATATTAATATCAATATTTGTCACTTAGCTGTCAAGCATTGAGCAAGATGTCCACATACCACAAAAGATGTACGAAAATGATCATATTATCCCATAGTGTCGCCGGTGGAGCTACAGCTCAACCAATGGGTTACGGGTTCGAGACCTATTCCACCTATTTAAGTTTCGGCAGCCAGGTAGTACCACTAACCCTCACACATTAGGTGTGGCTTATTTTGCCTAACGTATGAATGTGCACAAAGTTGCTGAATGTATTTCGATTTTATTTAAAAGCATCGTTGATTACCGCAAATCATTGACCTGGGTCTTTGCAAGAACTGTCGCAGAATCATGTTCCACCTCTGATTCGGATTTATGTCTCATGTCTTGTCGCACAAACTTGAAGATCTACAGGTAGAAACCAACAAGTTGACAGAAGAGGCAGGGCAGCGAAAACGGGACTTGAAGTGAATATAGCGAAGACAGAGGTGATGAAGATACCCAACCACCACCACCAACAACAACAAGCACCGATCAAAACCAACGGGAGAAATCTAAAGGAAGTAGTCTATTTCACCCACCCAGGTAGCATCGTTTCAACTATGGGCGGCACAGACGATGTCAAAACCAGGATCGGAAAGACAGCAAGACAGGCCTTCATTAACCTGAAATCAGTGTGGAGATCTACTGCACTGCACTCAGCATAAAGCGTGAACGAGATCCTGATTTTCAACACCAATGTCAAGTCAGTGCTCCTATGTGATGGTTGAGAGACTTGGCGTGTTACGAAAAGCATTTCCAACAAACTACAGACATTCATCAACAGCTGCCTACGCTCACTCGATACCGAAGGTCAGATGGCCAGAAACAATAAGAATAAGCAACAAGGAACTCTGGCCTGGCAACGAACCAACCAAGAACCCATCTCCCAACAAATATGCAGAATAAGGTGGAGATGGATCGGATTGGGCATACACTGAGAAGGCCGATTGGGGACATCACGCGCCGGGTCAGATGCTCGAGTGGAATCCAAAGGGGAAACGACGAGTTATGCGTCCGAGTGTGACATGGAGGAGACGGTGTGAGAAAGAAATGAGAGCTTGTGGTCAGTCGTGGAGCCATGTTAAGAAGACTGTAGAGAAGAGAGTGAAATTGTGACGTGCTACTAAAGCCCAACGTTAAACTAGGAACCCAAGGGAAAAGTAACACAATGATAAAGTATCGTATTCAAAAGCCCTACTGATAACATGAAAGCAAGAGTTTGATCCCAGTTGTTGTCTGTTGATCTCCTTTTTTCCATTAGCGATTACAGCCGTCAAATTTCTCTATCATAATCTTAGTGATCAATCTAGAGAGCAGTAGGAACTCATGGAATTGTTGTTCCTCTATGCTATATAGACTATGATCGTGATATTGCTGACACCTTCGTCTGTCTGTAGGGCATATGTTTTTGAAACGAAGCATCGTGGAATGCTGAACAGTTGATACTTTCTTTTCGAGAAATCTACACTCTACTGACGAATAATGACTCATGATAAAACTGAGAAATTTTTGAAAAACTGCCAACTTTCTCCTAAGGTTTTATTTGTTTATATATTTATTTATTTGTTTTTATTTCAGCACAAACGCAAGTCGAAACTATGAACCCATAATATTGAAAGAATACTTATTCCATCAAGATATGCATGGCGTAATCTTGCACAAGCATGTTTGCACTTCCAATAGAAATTCTGATATCCGTATTTCATCACAATTGATCATTACTTGTCTGAAATCTGTTGTTTATATATTATTTGAAGCAGTAGAACGTACACTGCAACTGTCTTACTCTAACTGTACATTATCTGATTATTTATCATTGCCCAACAATACTACTTATAATGATAGGGATAATTGTAATAATAGTTTACTGGCTTATAAAACATTTTTCACGTACTCTGATATAGATATGGAGGATATAGAAAGTTATGCTACTCATGTATATATTGATACGGTTCAATTGAATTCAGTGGTTACACATTCAAAGATTGATAAAAACACAGACGGTGAAATGTTAAGCGGTAGTTTGTCATCGTCAATGTATCCCTCCTCCTCGTCCTCGTCGTCTTCTTCCACAAAATATCTCCAGAAGCCAGTTGTTTCGTCGCACATAATTAATAATAAAAGTAACTTGCAAGGTAACTTGCAACAAACTGTAGCATCTATGTTATCTGAGTATTTAAGTTTCATCCAAACTTCATTTCATCTGGTAACGGAAGAGAATAATTTATTGTGTCAACAATATGCTATATCTCATCCATTATTCATAGATCCTGTTCATTTGTTTAGTAATACTGTCGCCACTAGCAGTAATACACTTCCAGTATGTCAGCCAACACAGTTGATGCTAAGATGTAAGTTTTCTTTTTACGGGTTTGAAGGATATTCGGTATATTTAAATTTCTAATTAATTTATTAACTCTCTTACTCTCTTTTATTATCATCGACAAATTACAATGAGGATTCACTGTACACAACATTAGTCTGACCGTAAAAGGTCGGGTTCACAAAGCCTCGATGTGAGTAGTTCTGTTCTACTCCTGTGAAACTTAGTCTCTCCGAGCTGAGGATGTGCGACCACTCTGTGTGTTCGATCATCTCTGTCTCCATAGGATTGCTCGTATTGGGTGGCCACACCATTTAAGTAATTCTGAGGTACGACAGCGTGTATTTGGGCACGATGTAGATCTTCATTCATTAAGTGAAGTCATCTGGGAACGCCGACTTCAGTGGCTTGGATGTGTGTTAGGCATGTCGTCCCAACAGCTTCTATACCGTTCATTGCTTGCTAGCCCTGGGACTGGATGGAAGAAGCGGAGGCGTGGGCAGTGTATGACGTGTCACCGTGGGATGAAAGAAAGCTCTGTTGAGTTGGCATCTGTTGGTGCATCACGATTCCCTGGATGGGGTGGAGTCCGAGCGATCAGGGAACATAGTGGCTTGAGACATTATCAGATATGGTTTATAATGGAAGCCAGTGGTGGTCATGCTGTAGCTTCCTTCTATCTTCTGCTAGTGAAAGGTAATGAATGTTTTGTCTTGAAGGTATGAAGACCGTGATATGACTAAGGAAAAATATGTCCGAAACGTAATCCAGTAAATAATAATACTGTTCCACTATGTGATGCATCTATAAGTCAACTAAAGTGAATGAAAAGGGAACTACTGGATTATATAGTCTTCAATAATGGCTAATTAAAGTGTTGGTTCATTGAATTACGCGTGGCTGCTGATATATTTGCTATGCGAATCGCGGTATAGTGTATGTACTGTGAGTTGCATAGTGGATTTCAGGAAGTGGTTATGAGCTTTCGGGAATGAGTACCTATGATCATGAAATCAAAGCGAAGCAGAGTAACATTGGAAATCTGAGAGCACTAGATAGCTGTCTCGTCCTAGTATGGGACTCCTCAGCAGTGCGCACCCATGGCACCGCCAAGAATGGAGCTCATATTGAGATAGCTGTCCAGTGTTCCCAGGTTTCCAATGTTCCTCCAACTGATGGCAGTCCATGGTGAATACCAACCTGAAATCAATAAATAAATCCCTACAAACCTCCAAATTGAATAAAGCAGAGTGTCCTAGAGATAGCCTCTGACTATTCTCCACTAGTCGATTTCTTATTGGTTACTGACCCTATTTTTGGATCGTTATGCTTAAAATTATTGAAAGCACTAAGTTTATTTTATGACTGAAAAATGCTTCAAACTCATTAGAAGCTTGTGCACTGAATTGTGAATCATATGGATCAGCACCGATAGAGTATGTTTGTAGTCCTAATTCCCAGCCAGTGGTAATAGTGGTGGGGATTAAAATGTGTGCATAATTGATTGATAACTCCATTGTATGCGTTGTTTATAATTTCCCAGGAGTATTTGTATGCTTTATGTTTTTACAAAATATGCCTTTTCTTTGCTTTTTCAGTATTTGACGTGATTGGTGGTCTGCTTGAAATGTAGGCGGGTGTTAAGGTTCAGAGTGACCAGATTAAGACGTGATACCAGTGCATAAAGTCCCTAACTGTTGATCTGAGCCATTTAGGGACGTGTAGATTATCTGGTTCGGCTCCTCCAGACCATGGTAATCAGTGGTTGACGGCTCTTGGTGACATGACTGAAAATCGGTGACAATGATTTAGATGCATTCACCTTCTAACGTCTTCTAAAGCTTAAATATTTGCACTAACCGATATCTTCAAATTGTTTATTCTCTCACATAGCTATGAGTCTTTTTGCATCCACTTGTTCTTTGTATACTATTATGAAGTCTGGTAACTTGAACCGATATACTTGTTTGTAGGGTTCTACATTATTTTCGTCTATCTATCTGAACCTTTGGGCTACCTACTTTTTGCAGAATATGTGTCGCATTAAATTACTTCTTTCCACGTTGTTTCAAACATTCAGATATGTCCTGGCATTATGTTATGGTTTCGTACGCCAATAGTTATATATATTCCGAAACGAATATAATACACACGCTTAGCTGACAGCTAACTTAGTACGCAAGAGCCACTGACTGCAACTCCGGGAAGAATAGAGAGAAGACCGAAGCTGGATGATGGGAGAGTTTATTACTCCGAGAATATAATAATCGATCCCAAAACACGTGAATAAGTACACACATGAAAAATGACCTTGTCCTCAGTTTGAGGCATTTGCATAGTAAAAGTAAAGATTAGCGATTTACATTACAATGGGGGCAGGAAGTAGACTACTAGTCATACCGTAAAAATGGTGTAGGAATTACACGTTAAAAATGCTCAGATCAATAACAATGTTTGATACAAAACTGGGGCATCACAACAGATTTTATTATCTTCCGCACCTCTTTACTGTCCTTCCAACCTTATCGCTTTGCAAGTTTCATGTAAAATTAATAAAAAGCACTTTAAGGGTTGGTAACAGACACTTATAGATGTACAGTCATAGATCAAATGACCCTTTCTGAAATAATTAGCATAAACTACAGGTCTTTGCCGAGAAACAATTAACTACCTTCAGTCACTCTTATAAACAGATATTAATCGTAATCTAGGTGTAATAATGCTGCAAAAAGCACTGCTTTATAATCTATATGATCATGATTTAGTTCCTCCAAATGGTTTCATATTATTTCGATGGGACCAGCTGACTGGCTGACAAAATCAACGAAGAACCTCCCACATAAGTGTATCGGCTCTAGTTGCCACAATCCATAGTACTACACAGAGAACAAATGAATAGGAAAAGAGTGATATCAAAGTAGACAAAGTTACTTGAGAGAATAAATAAGCTGAAGATAAATGTAAGCATGAATATTCCAGCTTTAGAAGATGTCTAGGAATGAATGCATCTGCATGAGTGTTACCGATTTCCAGCCATGTCACCAAGAGTCCTTAAACACTGATTCCTGTCGTCTCGGAGACCCCAACTAGGCAATCTACATCTCCTTTCACGACTTAGACCAAAAGTCAGGGACGTAATCATCTGGTCTCACGTCTTGGTCTGATCACCCTGAAACCTCTCTCAACCTAATATAACTTTCCTCAGCATGGCACATCTAAGTAGGCAGTGGGTGGCTCGGCATGCACAGTATATGTCCAAGCAATGTCAGCGGATAAAGGTTCACAACCTCATCAATCGACTTGATTGTCTTGCGTCTTTTCGAAAGGAAGTATTACTCGAGTGCAACCACGTTTATCAGCACACTGCTTTTATGTATGCTTCAGCTTGTCAGATGACAGTGTTGGTTGCATTACTATATCATCTCAAACATATTAGGAATTATAAATATCTTCACTCGAGTAATATTTGTGTAACATGTGACTATAATTCTTCCGATGTATCTATAAAGTTACTGAATTCTCTGTTCCTTTTTTAGGTCAGTCTTTTTTCATACTGTGTGAAGATTGTAATCCATGTGACTACGCTTTCTTTTTATCACATGTTCACGAGAATCTTGTTAACTTTTCGAGTAGTTTTGACAACACACTGGATTTATTGTTCATTATTTACTCATGATAAAACTCGAAACGCTCTCTGCAAGTACTTGCACATTCGTGCCGTAGGCTGTGAGCCACCCTTATTGTGTGAAAGTTAATGATACCACTTGGTTGTCCAAACCTCAGTAGGTGAAGTCATAGCTCTACTAATTAATGATGACACTATACTTCATTGGTTTGGCATTTGACTTTCAATCAGTGGATCACAGTTTCTAACTCTGCTTCATATATCCAAGTTGTATGCAACCAGGTAATATCGTTATCCCTCCCGATAGATGTAGCTCACTGCCTACTGCACGAACGTGCAAGTGGTCGCTGAGTGCGTTTAGTCTATACCACCATTAATTACTCTGACATGTGCTCCGCTGCTGAATTCTGACAATTATATCGTACGTTTCCCACCCAAAATTATGTTAATCTACACATACCTTTTCAAAAGATGCCAACACAGTTACTTTTCAGAGGACAGTATGCTGTGTTTGTCTCCAGTCTAGACGAAAGTGCTAAGTATACCCCCTATGCCTTATTAGATTACAAGTCTTGATTTGACTCTGTTCGTAGACCACTCTTGTCAAATAAGCTTTTCATGACACATACTAACCAATGGGTGATCAACTAACTGGATTCCTATTTTTCTGAACGGAAACAGTATACGGTTTTAAACGGAAACACTCCACTTTTCTCTTACTGAAAACGGTTAGCCTTAAAGTGTCTTGATTCCTCCTTTTCTTCTTTCTTTATTTTATTTTATTTACCTTATTCTACTGATGACCTGACAGTTCGCTGTACCAGTTGTTTCTCAGTTAGAATTTAGGCAAATTGAATGATTTCTTACCCGAAGTCCACGAGTAATCTTCCTTAAATGGTCTTCAACTAAACCTTTTTGAATGTCAAACTGTTAGTTTTTGTCTCAGTCACTTCAATAGATGGAGCGGTGTTTCAACCCATGACCCCATTAGTCAGATGAAAGACGGGAATAATTTCCATTTTATTGTACGAATCACTACCAAACACATTCAATATAAATGATTCAGTACTTCTTTTAGATATCTGACAAATCCTCCTGCTTCTATCCTAAACGTGTAACGCGAACCAGAGATAAATAAGCTAGCTGTCTTCAAGTTGTAGAGATGGCGTGATATGAATGACTATGGACAATGGGTTGTGGATCTAATGAATTATATAGTAAATAAATCTGATAAACAATTTAAAATGGTTTCAGGTTGATATTCATCATTGACTGACATCAAGTGGAGAACCACTGGAAACCTGGGAGCATTGAACAGATGTCTCGTGTTAGTGTGGGGCCACTCAGCAGTGCATACCCAAAAGGCTGCCAGGGATCCACCCTAGGACCTTCAGGTTTTGCCGCCAGCACGTTACCATCAAACCACTTGGGGGAGGGGGGGGGGAATCTGATGATTCACATTTTTTATTTCTGTCAGTTCACAATGGAATAGAAAATAAGTATTGTGTTTAAAAGTTACTCATCTGATTTCATGTCACCTCAGTGTTTATGCTTAAACTTTTGTATTACTGCTAACATCTTTATTCAGAGGATTTATTCTAATTACCTGTTTACTTTCTTGATATGCAATAAATTTTCTAAGAAGAATTTTGTTAACCTGGAACGCTATGCTTTTTTTTATTCACTTTTTCCCTAAACAAAACTGTTTCGCTGAAATGCCAATAAGATTTTATTCATTTGTAAAAAGTTTGAATTGATCACGATGTTCATACGGGAACTTCTCATGATAACTTTGAGAGGGCTATTGATTTCAGTGCAAATACAATTTTATTTCGCACGGATTAGTTATGATCACAAGGTTTCTTTTTTTGCATTGCGAATCGGTGTAATTAGGAAGTATTCTGTTTAGTAGGTATAATTTGGCAGGATTTTCTCATCGTTTCAGTTTATTACTTGAATTTCTCAGGTGGTTTTTCATGGGAACATTTAAACTCTCTAATACTCTTTCAGCGTTCATCTTTCAGATAGGTAATCATTCCTTTTGCATACTTGCTAATGATTGGTACACTAATTGGTCACTGAAGAATAATCAATATCATATTGTCTTGTTCTATGTGTTGACTGAATTCTTTCGATCAGGTTCACACAGATGTCACTAAGCTAAGAGACTAACTTTCGTGATACAGTTTGGTCGATATTAATAAATTGGAAGCGGGAATCTCTGTTACGCTTACTTGATGTACTTACCCAGGTAGGTGAGTATAGTACTCTTTTAAAGGTTGTATACTCGAGCACCCTTGAGCGTATTAGAGCCCATGGTGAGTTATCAGGTGAGTTTTGGACGTCGAAAGGTGCCCCTCAAGGGTGTTAAATCTCTCCATTCTTATTCAATTCTCTCACGGACGTTCTAGTGGAGGGTTTCCTCTCTTCGTCTGATCTTATCACGGGAAAATCATTGGAAGATCTAAAATGCTAACATACCGCAGTCTTGTTAGGTGAAGGTGCTGACAGGATCCAAAGTTTTCTGGACACCTTGAGTGTCAATTTGAGAATGTTTGGGATGCCTCTGTCATCACCAAATACCAATTACTGCTCCAAAACTGGTTTAACAATAAGGAGGAGGTAAGTGATTGACCACATTGACTACTTCATTTACTTGGGAAGTCGAATGGGTCCTGGTGGGTCAGTGACCATTGAAATCTCTACATGGATACAAAACGCTTGACTGACTTTCGCCAACTTATACCGCTTGTGGTGCTGCGGTGATGTCCAGTTGTCTGTTAAAAGTTGAGTGTACTACGCTGCAGTTCGTTTTGTGAAAAATGCCCAATAAAGACAGAGGACGTGAAAAGACTCAAGGTATTTCACCACCATCACCTTCGTAGTAGTAGTAGTCGTAGTTTTACCGCTTCAGTAATGTCAGGGGCAGGGTATTAGGGAGAATAGGAAAGTTAACTGTCGAAGTTGTGAACCTTCATTCACTCAGAAGACTGGGTCATGTGCTACGCACGTCTAGTCACCGTCTATCTCACCACAGCGTTAGCATAAGTATTTTCAGGCCGGTAAAAGGTTAGACGTAGCTAGGCGAAAACATGAGCAGTCGATGAAATATTTGATTGTTAGATTTAGCTGTCTAGCGAAATGTAGACCTCCTGGTGTGACAAAAGAAAGCAGTAGTTGGAGACTAGGTGATACAGCTGAGAGCCAACCTGAGTGGTGCATATGTATCCACACATTACCCCCATCTTAATCCTCTTTATTATCATACCGCAGGTTTTTTTTTTTACCAATTTTGACTGCTTTCCTATTTATTTCTTTACCTTTCATCTTCGTACTTTCTGGCTTGATGTGATGATATAAAGTATGGCAACTTGAACCACTACGCAGTAATAATAGGTGCTACTTTGGTCTTGTCTATTTGTCTGCCACGTCTGCATTTCACGTTTTTTGGCGCTTGCCAGCAAGATTGTATATACCCGAATGGATAAGAAATGGTATGTATTATGTGGATTTGAATCTGTCTGTAGGTATCAGACCACTCGATGCTACCAATATACCTTGTTAATGAGTTCAACAACCACGAAACCGTAGATTAAACGAGATTCCATCTTGATGACTGTCAACCTCTTAACATCAAGGTGAATAACACTATCACATTGTACACAATAACTCCATATTTATGTTGATTGAATTACGCAATGCGAGTTACAAATACTTGCTATCGTTGTGAAGAAGACAAAGAAAGACAAATTCTGTTAGATATATTTTCCTTGTATTCTCTGCGCATCATTTGTGTTCCCGTGACATTAGCATTTACTTTCATTGGTGTTTGTTGTTGGACGTCAAAATTGTAGCTTGATTGATTTTGGTAAGGGATCTCGGTGACTAGCAGAGGAATCCGAGACTGACGTTTATTCTCACTTAGGACTCCTAAGTTGGATGTACTTGCACCCCAGCGAGTGATTTTGCTCCCACTGAGGCTCGAACCCAGTATCCATCTTTTCAAACGCCACAGCATTATCCATTAAGCCACAGTTGCTCGATAGCCACCTATTGTGCAACGGGTATACGTCGTTGTTATGATACTTGTAATTTCCTGTTTGTATACATATCCGAATTGCCAACCTCTGTAGACCGAAGGGCTCCTATGCGGATCCCCCTATACTACTGGATATTCGGGGTGTTATATTGATCTTGGTAACTAAGAGAGGAATCCAAGACGCATATTTTGTCCTGTTTAAGACTCGTCAGGCATCAGCGTAGGAACCCATCTGCCAGCAGAGGTCGACCGATTTGACCCTGTATAGCAATGGGAAATTACAAGCATCATAACAAGAAATAACATCATTAGAACAAAAGTCGTTTAGCGAAGAGTTACTCTTTTCAGCGATATCATTCTCAAGCTCAACAATCGTGTGTATATATATATATATATATATATATATATATATATATATATATATATATATATATATATATATATATAATTCACACTGTGACAGAAAAATGTTTCATGAAATATTTTTCATTAAAGATCAGATTACAAGAGAAAAGCTGCCTATTGTTTGAAATAGTAGTGAATAGAAGACTCACCAAAATTGGACTAATATTTGGTTACTAAGTCAAATGATGTAACATTGTGAATGCAAAGAGAAATCTGAATTATAGGAGTGGAGGAATGTAATGTGTGAGAGGATCTGAATAAAGAGGTTTATGAAGCTAGAAATGTTCTTATAGGTTATGTCCATTGCAACTCGAGTGACTGGACAAATTTGTTTCGAACGCAGAGTTCAGGCTTCAAAATATTAATTGCCATGGCTTCTGCAGTTCGAAGGAGTTTTCGGTGTACACCTTTCGTGAGATTTTTGCGGACTCTGCAATTACCGGGTGGTCATAATCGGTCAGATGTTCTAGGATAGAGCTGTGAACTGTTCTCCTTTCCCCATTGTAGAACCAGGTTGGTGTGTGTCCAGAAATGCTCTTGGAAAGCGAACGCTTAGTACGGTCGATATACCTTACTCCACAGGAGCAGGTGAATTGATAAACACACATCGAGCTGGTCAAGGGAGCTAGCTTATCATTTGCACATAATCGAAGCATTGGGTACGTGGAGAAAATTAGTCTGAGTTTGGCAGCATAGAACATGTTTCTCAATGAGCATGTCAGACGGTTTATTACTATATCTGCTGTGTCTCCGTTGAACGGCAAGCTTATGTAAAGGAGCTTCTTAGGAGCTGTGGGGCAGAATCGTAATTTGCTTTCAATTTCATCGCTTTAGCTATGAAACTTTCAGGATACTGATCTTCAATCAGAACATTTTGGAAAAAACTTAGTTAATCTTCCAAATTACCCGGACTGCAGATAGTGCGAATCTTATTGCATAAGGAGCGAATTAGATTTCTTTTGGTGCATAGAGGCTCCTAACTATGAAAACTCGTGAGTTGTCCATTCCACGTGGATTTTCTGTTGATAGATCTTTCGAGTAATCCATTGTCTCGTCTTCTTAACTGCCCGTCTAACAAGGATATCTTAGAATTAAGTTACTTCTTTAGTGTGAATCTGGACGAAACGCTTGTCGTGGATTCCACTGCTAACCAAAACCAAGTCAATTATACCATATTTTTATGTTCCGTTTCTCCTCTTCAATTTCAATGTTACGATAATTTTATGTATTGTATTGGCATTAGTTGTACGAGCGCAAAATTCCTCGTATTTCAGTATATACTGCTGCAATGGAATAATAATAACGGCGTGTATTCATTCAATATAAATTGTTTTTGTTTCCACCTTTTTAGCATCTTTAACGCATTTCAATTCAGCCGGTATGATTCATCCAATTGGTTATACTTCAAGTAGAACTTTACACTCATCGTCATCCTCCTCGTCGTCGTCATCATCACCATCATCCAACAGTACTGTACGCGTGACAGGACCTGTACAATATTTTTTCAGTGAAAGACTTGCTTTAGAAATACTAAACAATGATAATATTTTCAATTTCACAGAAACTGATATATATACTGGTGAAGGTATGTTTACATTAAACCGTCCTCCACATGCAACAGCTGATGAAGATGAAGTTAACGAGAATGGTGAAGATGACGCTGATGATGATATTCTTGGTGATGCAGGTGATGAATATGACAATGGTGAAGATTCAACTGACTCTAAAGATTCAGAATATTCAGACATTCATTGCATACCTAATATCGGTGTGCTTTCAAGAGGTACAGAAAGTAAGTTCAACGGTTATCTCTTGGTTATGGGATGTAGAAATGTGATCTACATTGATCGCTTCTCCAGCCTAATAAATCTATGAACATAAGTTGCTTATGATATAAAGCTACATCTCTCTCTCATATACCAAATATGACCATACTAACAGTAATGAATTTGTAGTATAGTTATTCAGACCTAACATATGTAGGAAAATTTCCCACAGATGAAGCTACTTCGAATGGGATTTTACTAATTGATAATGGCTAACAGTGGGATTTAGCGTGATGCGGGTTTCGTCCCATTTGGAGGTCGTCGGTTGGATGTACTTGCCTCCCAGTGGGTGATGTTGTTCCCACTAAGACCTGAGACTGACCGCCACTTCTTGTGCGACCGGTATAGTTTTCATGATGTGGTTTGTATTATATTATTCTGTTGTTGATTGGACCGAACTGACCGGTCTCTATTCGCATATGGGCTCCAGTGCAAATGTCTGGATATTACCGATATTTTTCAAAGTTGATATTCTGTCCAATCAACGACGGAGATGTACAAGCTATAACATCAAAGACTTCGAATAGGGTTCCTCTGAATGAATGATACGCTTACCCTGTATGCATTTAGCGATTAGATATCTCCACTTTTGCCAGTTCATATAGGAATATGATTTATGTAAAGATTGTCTGAACCATAATGATAATCGCATAAACTTCATGTTTTATTTTCCACATTCAAGGTGTTGAGAGGAATACGAGTGGGGGCGGGGGGGGGATAACTATTGAAGTTGTTTATTGGGCAACTATAGTGAGTGGTTAAAATGTTGAAAACACTAATCGTAGTTCATGTAAATAATCTCTAAATTCTGCTTTGCAAATTAGTTATTCTTCAGTTTCCATCATTTTCTTTCTGTAATTCTTCCTTTTGTTTTGTGATTTCTTTCTTCGGAACATCTGACTGAATATTAATTCTAGTTTCTTCTCCCACCGATATCACTCCATAAACTGCTTATATGTGTTATAAATAACACACACTAAATGGGGGAATTTTGTGTAAAGACATTAACGAAATCACAGCCTTAGCAACAAAACTTATTTCTCTAGTCTGCAGTGTCTAGTGTGACCAAGTGCTTAAAATAATCTTCGAAAATACGATTAAAACGTCCTCTGTTGTGGAGAATTGTCATCATAATTGACGGCTACTAGTGGTATCCGCCAGGGATGCCCACCGTCACCGTTCCTATTTAACTTCCTTATAAGCGTACTAATAGACAACCTCAGGTACATCTAACTTAACACGGATTGATCTACTCCCTGGAGGCCATCTAGCAGACTTGAAGTATTTCGATAATATTGTCCTGCTAGGTGTTGCAATGAAGGTTCTTGTGAACACGTTGAGCAGATATCTGACTACGTTTGGCATGCGCTTCACTCACACCTGTCAAATGTAAGATGATGCTCTGGGGTTGGAGTCACTAGGTCAGAAATGGGATATTTATTCTGATTTTTCAGATGTAAGACAAAATTGTCTAATGAGGTTTCTCCTACCCACATAGTAACATGAAACAAGGTTGAAATCCAAAACTTCTACCTTAGCGGCTGATAATTTCGATTTTGTCTGCTTCTTTTCAAGTAGGCGATCCAGTGTATCCACAAAACTTGACAATATTAAGATAAATAGATGCAATCCTGTTTACTATATTGGTTTTCATCCGGCCAGGTAAAATGTTCTAAGACAGTTTTGATGATTATTTGTATGAACTTTACTGTTAACTAATGTGCTTTCTAAATAGGCAATCAAGGAGTTAGCAACTATAGATATATACCATAGTAAATTATAAAAAAGAATGACTTGCCGGTCGGTATGTCAGTATGTGTACCTATTCACTAGGTGTCAGATATACGGTGTAGCTATGCTATTTGGCTAACTGTATGTCCGCGGTGCTTAACTATTTAAAGGGAATGATAATATTGTTTCCCCTCGCCTAATTTTCAAAGTATTGTTCATAGCTAAGGTAATCATTGAGTCCAGTAGTGATTGAACCAAACTTAGCTCAAGTTCTCTTTTGGTTACAGGGCTGGTTAAAAATTGAGGGCATAAATCAATGAACTATGGGATGGTTTTAATTGTTATTTGTAATTTCCCGTTGCCATATTGGGTGGAATTCTCCTACTTCTGTTGACAGATGGGCTCTAATGCGGATTCGTTGATACTACTTGGGTATTTATTATATTGTAGTCTACTTGGCAGCAAGCAGTGGGACCCAACTTGATGCACGTTTCATCCTACTCGGGACTCGTCAACTGGATGTTGTTCCCACTTAGACGTGAGCGTCAAAGCGTTATCCACTAGGCTTCTGGGATAAGTGTCCATTAGCTCGATAGATGTGGAAATGGATAAGTATGTTGATACTGGTACTTTGCTCATGCATATGTTTACCGACTAAGTATTATTATTGATAATCAAGTATTATCTAGTTAAAAATTTTCACTCAATAATGTTGTAGATTTCACAAGGGCGCCAGTACGATGTTAATCTTCTCCTCAAACCACTGAAAGTACATTGCTTCACTTTTATACATATATTGAATTAAAATGAATAAAGCGATTATGTAATTAATGCAGATGTATTACTTTTCTTGTTGGTTTGTCTTTATAGAACTTATAGAATTATCCGATTGTTACATTTTCAATTTTGACACGAGTCTTTATGAACTATGCCTACGTAGTTCCTCTGATTTAGCACAAGAACCATTTGCAGCACAAATTTTACCATCTACTATCATGTAAGTTGTCATTTCTACTATGGTTGATTATTGTATCCTAATCATTTATACGTCTTATAGACTGGAAATCAGTGATATATAGATAGATAGACTTTTTTTCACAAGGCTTTGTTGAGAATAAAATAGTTAAATACCAATGATGGATAATGGTTGACAGTGGAATCCACGAGACGCGTTCTGTCCTATTTTGGGACTCACTCGTCAACTGATCAATGTTGTTTCTACTAAGACTTGAGCCTACCACCTACCACTCCAAATGCCAGAGCATTATCTACTAGCCTGTTGAGTCAAGCTATAATATCTAAAATATAAGATTTAAGTTGAGATTTCGTTTTGCATAACCAAGAAGTGCGTGATGCATTTTAATAAATGACGGTGATTCTGTGAGCCTTTTAAAACTGCTTCCACCTAGTGATACTGATTAATACTCTGCCTTCCTTATCTGAAAATGAAAGTTACTCATTATCTCTAGCCACATGCTTGAATTGGTTTTCTGTTGACTATAAAGTGAGGTATCCGACCATCTGCCAAAAGACAAGTATACTGCGTTGCTGTCCGTATTTTCGTGTTATACGGCTGTGAAATATGGCTGTTGAAAGTAGAAGACATGAAGCCATTTCAGGGTTTTGACTACAGATGTCTTCATTGTATTGCTTGGATTTGGTGGATTTACCGTGTGTGCTGAGGTGAGGCGAAGGGCAGTAGGCTAGACAGGGGAGGCGGTTAGTGAGGTTGTGAACATTTGTCGCCTGATTTGGCTTGGACATATGTTGAGCGTGCTGGCCCGCTCACTTGCCACGGTTGGTGAAGTTGGCTTAGGTTGAATGAGCGTTCAGAGTGGCCAGATCGGGACCTGACACCAATGAAGTCTATGACGGTTGATCTGAGCCGTGTGGGAGAGATTTAGACAGTATAGTTAGGGTTCACGAGACGAAAGGAATCAGTGGTTGAGGACTCTTGGAGATATAGCTGAAAATTGGCCACAACGATGCAGATGTATTCACTCCTTGACACCTTCTAAAGCTTGATTATTTGCACTAAGCTTTGTTTGCAAATTCCTTATTCTCGTGCACTGCTTTATGTACTTTGATATCACTTTTTCACTTTCTGTTATCCGTTCTTTTTACAATACTGTGAAGTATGACAACTTAAGCCGATGAACTTTTGCCGGAGGTTGTACGTTGGCTTTGTCATTCGGTAAACTGTGCGGTTATTGTGCATTCCATTTTTAACAGCTTCCTTATAAGACTGTATCTTGAGAGTTTTAATACTAATCATCCACGTCCAGTTTTATGTGCTAGGCTGTGCGTTATTTTTTTCAGTGACTTTAAAGTCCATTCCAACAACTGGTGATGTGGCCAATTGCGTTTGTTTATTTTATGAAAAACTGCCTTCCCAGCTGAAATACTAATGCCCGATTGGTTGGTTCAGCAGTTGCCAGGGTGGCCTTCAAGGTTGATCCATTTAGTATATGATGGTTCTTGAATTTGTGCTCTTCTGAGGGAGAGTTTGGTTGGTAATTAACTGTCGAAATCAGTGAAATATACCTTTTAACCTTATGATAACTGCAGTACACTGGACAATCATTTAACCTATGGTGTTTTTTTTTATTGGTTGTGTAAAATCCCACGCGATTCTTTCACTCTATCAATTATTTTCAATCCAGTTGATTGATTATGAATTTTTATCACTTTGGAAGTGTTCCCTTCACAGTCAGATGGTTAGACATAGTTGGAAATCAGATAAGAGATGGCAATATAGCAGAAACTAGTATTTCCATGTGTAAGACAACCGTTATGACTTTTATACTGAATGTACTTGTCAGATGATTTTTTAAAATCACTTTTATTATAGTACTGGCATTAAGCAAGTACAACTTGTGTACGTACTTAGTTTGCATACACACTAGTCACCCAATTATCATGCGAATAAAAACAAACGAACGAAACGAAACGCACTCAACCACTTTGTGCACATCCGTGCAGTAGGCAATGAGTCACATCTATCGTATGAGGGTTAATGATACTACCTGGCCGCCCAAATCTTGCTAGGTGGAGCGGGACTCGAACTCATGACCCAGTGGTTGGCGCGAATGAGGAGATGAGTTTGAAGCTGGCACACTATCCTACCTTTTATTCATGCTCTGAGTCATGGATACATATACAGCTGAATTTTTTTCTCACTATGCATCTTTGTTCAAAGGAATGAAGTGGCTGATTCTATAAATAGGTGTGGGTGTGCTGAGTATTTGTTTTCCTCTAACATGCATTTCAGACCCATTAGTTGTTGAGAAATGAATAACAGGTCAACACAAAGCTCTTGAGCTTAGCTGTACAGTAACGTAACAAATCTGGGGTTTGTATTTTCGTTCCTTTGGTTGGTATAGTAACAACCTTTTTAGTGTTGTATGATAGGAGACAGTCAGTGGTAAACCCTGGATCTAGGTTTAGGGTTCTGTGATCCAAACCTGCGTTACCCAGTGAGGAAGTCATTGACTTCACTAATAAACAATTATTCAGGCCACGACTGACCTACTGTAGGACTGTAATGTGTACACGAACTAGTCTCTAAATTAATGCTTAGCACTAATCGAAGTCTATCCAACACCAGAATATTGTTCACTGCCGTATCATTTAACTTTGCTGAGTGAGTGACGTTGCAAAACTTGATCGACAGACTTGTGAATCTCTGACGATCATGTCTAACATGACATTGAAACGTCCTTCAACTTAAACCCTAGCTCAGAGAACAACTCACTTTGATATTGTTAGTTGGTTGGAAGCAGTCGGCAGGAATCCCTGGACCTAGATTTTGTACTTATTGGCACTCCTCAGCAAGGCATATCTGCAACCTCGAGGGAACCGATGTCCCTTTTGAGATTCTCTTTGATGTCATCCAGTGTTGCAGTCAGCGACATTACCACTGAGCTTTTCAGGCAGCGGCTAACTTTCTGTGGGACTGATTTGCATACATTGATTGATCACCTAGGTCCAGAAATTCCTGCCACTTACCTGCAGCCAACTAAAACCCACCAAAGTGCAGCGTGATGGTGAGCCTCCTAGCTTGATGGCCATATTGTATAATGATCGAAAGAATTCGACCACCACTCAAGACTACACAGCAGGAGATTGGTTGCTCTCCAGTGAGCAAACAATGTATCACTCTAACCATCCGCATCCTGAGCTACAAATATTCGTCACAACTTCAATCAGTGTTAATCAGTTATCATATGAACAACTTTTTTCTTAGGTGGCCATGAAATTGTGCATATATTATCTAGTAGTAATAGTGAAGTTACTATTCAGATGGATTATTTAGGCGAAAACCTAATCTTCGCTGAGTTTTGGGGAGAACAGGTGATGTATTGCATTGATTTGTGATGTTTGCCAAGATAATCAAAAAAGCACTTAAAGTTTAGGGAGTAACCGTTATAATAATAATAATAATAATAATAATAATAATAATAATAGTATATTCATGAAATAGGGATATGATTCCAACCTGAAGATATTCAAAGCAGGTTGGGATTTGGTGGTCTGAAAAAATTTGAGCATACTTATTATTTTGGTATTTTTATTTCCCAATGAATGAGTATAAAAAATAAATAAATTTGTTTCAACTGACATTTCGCTGTTCATTGCTAATAGTTTTATCAAAGCTATAGTTAACTTGATTTTAAAATATCCAAACTTATATACAATAACTTGTAAATGTAATTCTGTACGAATGATTCTACGTTGTCGAATTGTTGAACAAAGATGATATCTCCATAAGTAGTGTATTGTATGTGTGAAGAGTGTATGAATTACAGATTGAGATTTGTATGTACACCTATGTTAATAATTATTATGTTGGTTATGTCAGTATGATAGGGGTGGGTTGAGATCAGGTCAAACTACGTTTCATTTCTACTTAGACAATTTTGAATTCTAAAGTCTTTCAAAATAGTTTTGATATTGTCAAAATCGACCTTATATGACCTGAAATTATGTGGTGTGCAGAACTATTGTTGATGTATTATCAATTTTTTTTTCAGTTCCTCTGAATTTCTGAGGGGGTCTAGTGGACACTCTTTGGTGTCCATTTTTTCCTCATTTTGATTTCATGGGAAGTTTATCCTGTGTTGTATATTGTATCACAATCTGAACATTTTATTTTATAAACAATTAGATTGTGAATCTGTAGGGATCTCGTCCTTCAAATGAACCTAAGGTTCTCTGCAATGTGTTTCAAGTTCTGTAGAATACTCTGATGACATTGTATCTGTTGAGGACCCTGCAAATTTCATGTGATATATGTGATCTGCAAGGGAGAATAGACAAGATTTTCAACGTATACACAGTCGGTTATTATTTGTCAACTCATTTACCACGTTGTAATCTTGACAGTTTACAACATTTTTCTTACCTTCACTTTTCTTAATGTGAATAGTTTTTGGATTTGTATTCAAGTAACAATGAAATTAAAATTAGATTTAATAAAATGTCTAATTTTAGAAATAATGTTTAATAACAGTTTTTTGATATCTTTTCATACTTATGCATGTGTTTATGTATTGTCTGATATAGCTTATGAAGTTGTGATTGGTCATTTTAGTCGGTCAACTTTTAGCCAATATGACATGTGTACAATTTCCATACTACTAATAATTGTGTTCTAAACAACCATTTAGAGCTGTAGTTCATCGATTTAGGAAGACGGCTTTCAACCAATGGGTCATGAGTTCGAACCCCCCTCCACCTACCGAGACTTAGGCAGCTAGTCAGGTAGCAAACATACTTATTCTTCACACAATAAATGTGGTTCATTGCCTGCCTGGTAGACAAATCTGCATAATGTTGCTGAGTGCATTTCAACTTTTAATTTCGATTAGCGTTTGCTATCGACTCCCCCACACCAATAGGTTATTTGCAGTCAAATGCATTACTTGTTCGAACAGTGTCAGTCGAATATACATACTCTATTTATTCATCGCAAAGTTATGGTTTTTTTTTAAAAACAAGCTTAATTAGCTGCATCTTTCAAGAGCTACTTGTAAAATGTCATCTAAGTTAATGTGAAGAGCGTTAAGACATCACAAAATTTCCAACAGTTTACTTTCCTTGTCAGAAAACAGAATGATAGACACAATAAATGTGAAACCTCCCACAAAGATGCATCGGCTCAGGTTGCCACAATTCACAGTGTTTGACGAAGAACATATGGATAGAAAAAGAGTGATATCAAAGTAGAATAAGCACTTTGAAGACGAAGGGTAGTGTGAATATTCAAGCCCTAGAAGACGTCAAAGAGTTAATACATATGCGCCATTGTGACCGATTTTCAGCCGTGTCACCAAAAGTCCTCAACCACTTATCCCTATCGTCTTGAAGACCCAAGCCAAATAGTCTGTATCTCCCCCACAATTCAGACCAACAGTTAGGGACTTCATGTATTGGCTCCACGTCTTGGTCTGCTCCCCCTGACCCCTCTCTGAACCTAATCCAGCTTCCCTCTAGCATGACATGAGGAGGTAGGCATTGACTCAACATGCACAGGACATACCCAAACCATCTTAGTCGAAGAACGTGCACAACCTCATTAATCTAATTGCCTGTCTTAGTCTTATCTAGTGCTATTCGCATGATTTCAACATTGGTAACACGGTAATTTTTACCAAACGCGAGCAATGCAACAAAGATATTTGTGATCAAAACCTTTCAATTACTGCTTATTATCTATTACTTGTGGGAAACTAATACGTTAAGTGAAATTTAGTCGAATATGAAAACTGAAGTTTTGAATTCATAAATCACTTTACATTCTTTTTCTACAATTCATATTTCTCTTCTTTACAGGAATGATTTAAAGCGTCTTTATTCACCTCATGTCAGTTCAATACGTAGGTCAAAATTTGGATGATGATGATATAAATATGCGTAGAATTCTTCTTTATTGGTTAATCTCTGTAGTCTCAAATTTGAGTTGTATAATAATTTTCAACTGATGAATTTAACAGTCATAGTATGTACATGAATACTTTTATGTGTTTCACATTGGTTAATTTATGATTTAAACTTTCAATCATAATCTTTTTCATTTGCTCATTTATCTACGTTTTATTTAAAGTGTTCAATTTTTTGGCATCATTTTCCCCGGGAAACTCTGAATTGTTTGTTTGATCGATGTCAGCGAAAACTTCCCTGCAACAATCACCACTCAACTCAAAAGAATTAGACAGAATGTTTAATGCTAAATCTGCTTCATAGTAAGTTGTGTTCAAGATCATTAAGAAGAGAGAGAAATGTCATAAAGTTATTTAGCATAACATAATTTAAGAAATATGGAAAGAAATGTAATTAATTTGTGTCAGTATCTAGTCATCGAAAGTGCTGGAGCGGCAATGAAATTTTTTTCTTGTCAACATCAGACCAACTGTGACACCAGATAAAACGTATCAGCATAAGCTATTGTTCAAAAGGATAGGTGAAATATTGCTGCTATTGTTAAACCGCTTACTTGGATTATAATCACATGCAATTACAAGCGCCTGTATGTATGCACTCTAACAGACCAAGAAAACACAACTGTAAAGCCTCTGTGTGCTTTACTGGCAGATTATAAAACTAATTGTGGGTTCAAAGATTGGCAGACAATATCAACATAAGACTAGGCATTACTGTGTAGCGATCCAGGTTGCCACACTTTATATCAGCATATCAAGCCAAAACGCATCACGATCACAGTTAATAAATAAAGAAGAGAACGGTTGAAGTGTTAAGAAAAGAACATAAGCAATAACGAAATTCCGTGCGTTGATGAAAGTGAAGATGAATGGATGCATCGGCACTAATGCCATCGATTCTCGGCGATGTTACCTGAAGTCTCCAACCATTGGTCTCTTTTATCACGCAGACCTCAACCGGGAGGTGTACATTTCGCTAAACAGTTAAATTTAACAATCGAAGGCTTCGTTGACTGATGTTCATGTTCTCGTCTAGTTGCCTTTAACCGAAACCCACTTCAGCTAGCGTTGTGCGATGAGACAGGGGTAGACTACGTATTCGTAACACATGACCCAACCACCTGATGTGATGAAGGCTCTTAACGTCATAAATTCATATTCTCCTCCCTAATACTATGCGCTTGGCTTCTACGTTGTGACCTGTGCTAAGTAAGCAACAGTGGTCAAACACCTTAAGCTTTCTCATACCCTCTACCTTTGATGGGCACGTTTCACAGTCATATTGGAGAACAGCACAGTACACTCGACCCCTAATAAGTATTCGATTATGCCCGTGCCATAAGGTGGCGACAGAAGTGCGACCCCTTTGCATCCGTGTGGAGATTTTGTCGGCCACTGACCCACCATATCTGATCCGACTTTTCAGGTAGGTGAAGTAGTCAATGCGATCAACCACTTCACATTCTACTGTTAGCCGGGGCACCGCTGAAGAACAGTCCTGACCTAAAACACCCAGGGATATTCGAGCACAGTGCCTTGAACAGAGTGGTATACTCGTTTCGATAAGGGACACTGCCTTATGACCTCGCGATGGACGCAGTTGAATGCTCAATTTAGGTCGGGGGAAACAACCAGTGTCAAGTGTTGTTAAGGATCTCAGTTCCACAGTCCGGTGAAGGGTGAACACCTGGTCGGTACGCCCACAGTCAAGTCTGTCTGGTTTTCTAGGGTTTGCTGTTTCCGAACTCCACTCAGACTTCCAGTGCTCACAAAACCTAGACGATATATGGTTAGGCTGCTTTTTCTGTGGTTATCATGAGATGACTTCTCCTCTTTATTCAAGCTGAGGACGATCAGTGACTGAGACCAGTCATAGGGGGTTATACCTGACTTTTACATAGTAGGTAACACTATTTAACTTGACTGGAAATCTCCTACCACCGTTCTTAAGTATTTTTGGTTCACCTCATAGTGATACCCTTCCCCAAGACATATTGCTTACAGCTTTCTCAACTCCCGTTTGGAATCTAACTGGATACCATCCAATAGAAAAGTTTCTAGAGACCAGCTGAACTGTTCCTCCTAATGTTCTAACCATCATTCTTGCTAGTGAATCGCAGACCCATGCTTCTCCACTATAGTGTAACTGCCCATTTGTCTTTTGGCCCTGGTTTCTCTGATTATTCTGAGTAGTTGTTTACTGCTATCTCCGCTGTCTATTCCATCTCACCAGCTTTCACTACCCATAACTGCTTGGGTAGACTTTTGTAAATCTACGTTTATGTTTCTTCTCCTTCTCATTGTACTACGAACACGCAGAGCTGCGTTTGCATGCACTATCAATTAAGAGGAAGATGCGGAGATCCACACTCAGAGTGTCCGCTATAGTCCACATCGCTGTTCTAGCAGCGTACTAGTGATGGCTCAGGAGTTCTGGAAGTGTTGTGTTCTGTAAACTGTATAGCTACTTTCCCGCCGAAGACAGGTTTAGTATTCTCATCGTCAAATAATATCTGCAATGTTTTTTTACTGTGATTTTGCGGCATTTTTTTAGGCTCAGACGTACGTGTGCTTTACTTAACTGAGTCAGATTGAGCAGCGGCATCAATCTTATGTTTCTGAGTGATGGTTTGAGCCGTGGACAGAAATGATTTTCTCCTAGGACATGCAGCAGGAATGATCGGCGGAATACTCTGGACAGCAGTTCAGTCTGCCTGCAGCAATACATCAGTTAATCAACATCCAGAAGATAAAAAGCAGAGTGGAACTTCGCACACATCGGCTCAAGTAACCACACTTCACAATACCATGCAAAGAACAAATTGGTAGTGAAACACTGATCTAAAGTAGACAGATGTGTGTGGATGCCACAAAGTACGCATATAGTACTGTTGAATCAGGCGAAGACGCTGCCGTAATGCAGGGTATGCTAAACGTATCGAGGTTAAATTTGAGTATGTTTGGCGTGCGCTTAGCATCTGTCAGGTGTAGGAAGATATTTCTTCACTGATTCTTGGTTTGAGGACAGAGTGAAGTGATAGTATGCGTAGACCGCTCCACTTTTGAAGTTGCGAAACCCGTAATTGACTAGTTGATGGCAGGTTGAAGCCCGAATAAAGAGGTACTATTTGAAACTTATCAATCAGTGTGATCTTTCGCATCGGCAAGGTATTTAACTAAATATCATAGGCTGAGGAAACTGCGTAGTCTTCCACTCTGTTCCATTGTGGAACTTGAACATTAATTCAGCTTGAAAGATTGGCAGAGATTACAGGTTTTTGATCATAAGTTCTATCGTAGCATGGCTTGCGTGTTGTTAAGTCACCATATGAGCAGCGTCAAGGTTAGGTGTAGTACAACATTCAAGGAAATTAAGTCAGCCGATGAGGTTGTGAATGAGCAACGACTAGGTTGATTTGGACATGTGTTGATCATGTCAAGCTATCACCTCAGTTAAAGTTAATGCTAGGTGAAGTAGGTTTAGGTGCGTAGAACGTTAATGGTTGTGAGATAACGAGATAGCACTGGCTAATGAAGTCGGTGACTGCTGCTGTGAGCCATCTTCGGAAGGGCAGTTTGTGTCACTGTGGTCGTTGAAACAATAAGAATCAATGATCTTGAGACTTTCGTTATTTATTCATACTTACGTCCTTCATTCCGCTCTAAGCCACTTCGAAACAAATTATATTTTGTTATTATGCCTTTGAGCTGATTGCAGTGTGGCCGATATTTACGTGAAAGAAGAAATCAATCCAAATACACTAAACTTATGTATCCCATGAGTGTTTTATCCCACAAACTCCTCATCAGCTCATTTGTGTACACTTCTAAAATCATTCAGGTTTCAACTGAATATTTCTGTAAACCTCTGAGATAACATGGAGTTTTTAATGTCTAAGTTAAGTTCTCTCAAAATTTCGCTGTAGACTAACTTTATGCATAGTGCCTTGTGTAGGGGAATTCATAATTTGAACAGCGAAATGTATCTGGCGAACAACCAGTAAAGAGCCTCGCTGTAGTACATCCACTATTCGCCAAGAACCCATTTACTTTTGATTATGAAACTTACTTAAGATTTTATGTTGGATGCATAACTTAGTCAGCTTCCGGTCTTGAAAAACAAATTATCACATAAGTTTTTTCGTCTGAAACGTGTTTTTAACCAGTTAGTTTCAACCAGATTACGTGTATTTCACAATGTTAAATGCATTAGATGTTTACTGCAATCTCTCTCTCTAGTTGTTTGCTGCATGCCAAAGTAAGTCAATCAGTAACTTAATTTGTACATTACAGTCAATTCCGTATTTACTATACAGCTAGTTATCCACTATACTTGCTTTATAAACAAGAAAACTGCACTATTGAATACCTCAAATTTATGCCTACTTTGTGCGCACACCAGTTTCAATCTGCATACCTGGGCACCATTGCGGCTCTCATAAAAATCATTGGACAACCATTGTGAACAACTAACTGAAATGTGTGATGAAACTGTTAATCAGTTGTTCATTTTATAGCAACTTCATCACTGTTATTTTAGCACATGACCTAAATTGTTCTGTCGTCATCCTCAGATTTGTCCTTGTGTGTTCATGCTTGGCTCAGCTTTTAGTCACTGATTGAAGTTGTCATCATTCGTCCAATGTTTTATCTAACTAATCTAAAGTCACATGTGTCTTTCAAATTGGTTATATTCAGTATTTGATTCTCGATTTAGATCGAACAAGCAATAGTATTGGATGAGACCCCTTAAACTCGTCATTCATGTTTGCTGCACCTCAAAGACCAACATAAAAGACTGTGACAAAGTCCTCTGAATAACGTCTTCATCTCTCAGCTGGGCAATTTGACATAGCATACGCTTATGCGATGACACCGACAGTTGATGTGTCGCAAAGTGATAGAGCCAGAACTTTACTAGTTGTATTAATGCCTGTTAACAGTTATCTGTGAGCTATGGGGTCACAAGATTCGGCTAGAGTGAGAGGTAACTGGTAAGGTAAACGATGTTTTTTCGTCATCTGTGTCTGTAGTCCAACGGCTTGCAGCAGGAGTGCACTTAAGGAGAATCCTCTACCAACTGCGTTGAACAGATATCGTAGTGCATTTTTGGGAATAGAATGCACAGGTTGGGTGTCCAGA